AAGACGCCTGAGGCACCGCACCGCATGGGCGCCGTTTCGGTTGGCGCCCGCGCGCAACGCCGCTGCTGATATACGATCGATGCTCTGCCGTCTGCGTGCACGGATCAGCTTGAAATTCACGATTGTGTACCCGCATGCTGCTGTGCTGTGTGGGGGGAGGGAGGCCAAGCATATCTGCGCCTACGGCGACCGCTGCTGCTGGACACCCAGACAGCCAAAACGTAGGCGGAAATGTGCTTGCGAGTCGTGAGTTTTGCATACAAGCCTGACCTTGCCAGCTGTGGAGAAGTGTGCGTTTGGCTCGTGGCCAGACCTGACACTCACACTCTTCCCCATCATCACCCGGTATCCTTTGCACTGTCCCATAGCTGCAAAGATCTCGTACCGTCTTGTCTCTTTCTGCACTCAACACTGCAGAGCCACATCTACCTCACAACTCCCTCACAACTCCCTCACAACTCCCTCTCTCAGCTCACCGAGAACAGGTGCGTGGTTGCCAGCCCTGTTCGCTTCTATGCCCTCACTTGAACCTGACCCCTCCTTCCCCCCAAAGTATGAGCACCAAGCACGTCTTCCCTACGGCCGTCGGCCTTGTTGAGAAGGCAGAGCGCGGAGCCATTGCCCTCAACCCTGCTTTGCGATTGTGAGTCCGCACTGCGGGTGAAAGCCCTGCACGGTACTGGAAGCTTGAGCTAATGCTCGCACGGACTCGATATTCAGCTACGCCCCCCACAAGGTAATTTACGACTGCACTCACAGCAACGAGAAAGTTGCCATCATCTCTGGCGGTGGTGCTGGTCACGAGCCTGGTCACGCGGGGGTAATCGGACGCGGCATGCTCACAGCTGCCATCTCCGGTGAGGTCTTCGCGTCCCCGAGCGCAAGCCAGATCTGCTCTGGTCTTGATCTGGCCAACACAGACGCGGGTGTCATCATTGTCGTCAACAACGTGAGTGAAGCGGACATCAACACGCATTCGCGGATGCCATTTTGACACGCATCCCACACGCACGCTCAGTACACTGGTGATTGCTTGAATTTTGGCCTTGCCGCCGAGAAAGCGCGCGCTGCTCTCGCCTACTCTGGCAACAAGAAGAGCGGAGGTGTCGAGCTTGTCATCATTGGTGATGACGTCGCAGTTGGCCGCAAAAAGGGAGGTCTCGTAGGACGTCGTGGACTTGGAGGTAACATCTTCACCTGCAAGATTCTCGGTGCAGGGTCCGAAAAGGGTCTCAATGTCTCCCAGCTCAAGAAGCTCGGTGACAGCACGATTGCAAATACCGTGACTGTGGGTATGTCTCTAGACCACTGCCACGTCCCTGGTCGCCCCAAAGACCCCGCCGAGTGGGGTGCTCTGCCCCAAGATGCTTGCGAGATCGGTCTCGGAATCCACAACGAGCCCGGATTCAAGCGCTTGGACAGGGTCCCTGACCCAGACAGTCTGATCGAGGAGATGCTGTCGTACCTCTTGAACCCCAACGACCCCGACCGTCATTACCTCGACTTTGACAAGGATGACGCACCTGTCCTCTTCATCAACAATCTTGGTGGTATGAGCCAGCTCGAGATGAACGCAATCACGGACGTGACCATTACGCACCTGGGTGAGTTATGAAGCGAGACATGAATTACTGACCGCCTTAAAGGCTGACTCCCGCAAATTTTGTCTGCAGCCAAGACGTGGGGCTTGCACCCGAGCCGAGTCTTCTGTAACCAGTACATGACCTCGCTCAACGCACCAGGGTTCGGCATTTCCCTTGTCAACCACAAGAATGTCAAGAAAGAGACTGGCCAAGATATGCTCGAGCTTTTGGATGCCCCAACTGATGCTTACGCGTGGTCAGGCGTCAAGAGCGGATGGGGTCCAGCTACCGGCAAGCCGCGCGACCGCGAAGCAGAAGAGAAGGAGGCGGCAGACCACCTCGCCAAGATCCGCTCGCAAGGTGGGAGCGTTAGTGGTCTGAGCCAAGATGCAAGCCAATCCAGCGGCGGGCCCTCCAACGGCAACCCCGAAGAAGTGCGCAAGGCCATCGAGGGAGCTTGCAAGTCGGCCATCGCTGCTGAACCCGATCTTACTCGATTCGACACTATCGTCGGTGATGGCGACTGCGGCGAGACGCTTGCTACTGCATCCAACGCTGTGCTCAAGGCACTTGCCGATGGCAAAATCGACTTGAGCAACGCTGCCGGCACCTGCTTGACGACTGGCACCGTGCTCGAGAGCGCCATGGGGGGTACTAGCGGAGCTATCTACGCGCTCTTCTTTGCCGGTCTTGTGCAAGGTCTGGTGAACGGAAGCGGCAAGAGTGGCCAGCCCGCAACGGCAGCCGATTGGGGAAATGCCGCCAAGTCTGCGCTAGAGAATTTGGGCAACTACACTCCTGCACGTCCTGGCGACAGAACTCTGGTCGATGCCCTCACTCCCTTGTGCTTGTCGTTGGGCGAAGGCAAGAGCTTGACTCAGGCTGCCGCCGACGCCAAAGCTGGAGCTGAAGCCACCAAGACGATGACGGCTCGTCTGGGCAGAGCTACGTACGTTGGTGGAACGGAGAACAATGCCGACATGCCCCCTGACCCTGGAGCGTGGGGAGTTTGGGCCCTCGCTGATGGTCTCGCCAAGGCCCTCAGTTAAGGGCATTGGTACCTTCCTGACCTGCTCAGCAGTGATGTGAGCGCAAGATTCACCTAGATCGCAAAGAAATCCCATCATAGTCAACATGCCACACTTTGCGCTTGGACAATGTTTCTGCCATCGACATGTCGTTCGGCGCTCTCGATCGTGATTGGGCACTTGAGTGACATTGCTTGGTTACCTACATGGCCGTGATTGTGGTGTGACAGGGCAGTCAGAGTGCGGCAAAGGGGGAAGGGGCGCTGCGCGCGCTAAGCCCGCAGAAACGCGAACCCAACCCCCGATCCCTGCCTGCCCCTGCACGATGAGGCTGTGCAGCAGCGAAGCAGGGTTGGACTGCGCGTTTGCTGAGCATGCGTGAGCATGACTGATCAAGCTTTGAATGGTGAATCACGAATGGAGTTGGAGGACTTGTGCTCGCATTCATGATTGAGGAGAAGGAGGCAAATTGCATCATCTACGCATTCACAATTTGCGTTGCGGGCAGCATTCGCATTAATTTCAATCAACATTCACTTTCTTTGATTCGCCATCCCCTTCTTCTGGCACTTTGAGCGCTCCTTCATTCGAGTAGTTGCATGCAGCTGCTGGCCCAATCTGCGGTCACCATCCACGTCGAGGAAAGGAAGGACCCGCACGCAACTGCCTCTTGCCAGCACTACGTCAAATCCGTGCGCCCTGACGCAGCGCATACCAATACTTTACGTCTAGCACAGACTG